CGCAGTTTATTTATAAGGATAGTGCCTATTTTTAATATTTATAATTTCAGAGATTAAGCGCTTCAGTGGCCATCAGCCTGTCATACTGAGCAGAGCAAAGACGGTTGACGTTCTGCCACAAGATGGCGACAGAGACCGCATTATAAGTGCTTTAGCAGAGAAAAACAGCAATTTCTCAGCACAAGTTTCAAACTACAGTTGAACAAATCATTACAGAACAGGTAAGTGACATTTTAAGCTGATCTCTCTCTTTTTTATGTTGTAGTACTGCATTTATCCCATAGTAATCTGGTAGTGTTTGCTTTGGCTTTTTCAGGCTTAATTATTGTGAAATCCCAACTGCAACAGAAACAATCAGAAATCTCTGTAGACTGATGGCATTTCATGCTGATTAGTGTATTTATATTAAAATGTGAGCAAAATCACCTCTTTTGTCATCACTTAAGACATTACGCTAAAGAATCATTCAAATACTAGCTCTAAAGTGACGTTGGTAAATAAGCAACGGTCTCTGCTGTCCTCATGTCAGCTGCAGATGTGAATGAATGACGGAAGAAAAGTAACTCCTCTTACAAATGGGTTTTTGAGACTCTGTGTTTGATTTTTCTAGTATATGGTCACTGGTAGATATACAACCATATCACACTGCTACTCCTGTGATATTGCTTACAAACACAAACATATATAGATTTTTTTTTTTTTTAATTATACAAAAATTGTACTACATGATTTGATTTGACGAAATGCATTTCCCCCTTTGCTTTATACTGTATCCTGCTCCATTTTTTTTTTTTTATTCTCTTTATTGATTTTTATATACTGGTGTATGTGTTTTACTTTAATTAGTTCGTTTTAATGTTCTGTATTGTTAACTTTTGAAAAAATCTATAAATAAAATATATATAATAAAAAAAGATCGAACAATTTATGCATTATTTGTTATGTGAATTTCACTTTTCACTCATTTTCGTACTTTTTCAAGATATTATTGTTTTTATTATTTATCAACATTTTTACAGAAGCTTTATACATACAGTTTTCATTCGCATAATTTCAAATAACTCTAAAATCTTAGATTTTTAAAAAAGTTTTACTATCCATTATTGATATTTCAATACCCTCAGTTTTCCTCCACAATAATAATCCCGCTTCTAACCAATGTCATCAAGACATCCAGTCAATTCAATTACCTGTCTCTGTGTTAACCTTTAGCTTCACAACATATAATATTGCCAAAATAAAAGCAAGCTATCAAGTCACGTTGTCTGTAAAGCCTCAGAGGATCATCTTCTCTCAAAGAAACCCGACTCTCCCAGAGTATACACAAGAATCAGAGTGAAATTCAACACCTTTTAACACCTTTTTAAAACTCTTTCCATATATTAAGACATCATCGCCACTTTAGGTTCAACAGGAAACATTGGCAACTTTTTGACTCACAGCTTTTTGACTTTTATATTTATTCAATTCTGATTGCAAAAAAACTAATCCTAAACTAAAACATTATTCAAATAATAAATAAAATAGCATGAATACTGCTATAGCAAGCTTTAGCATACAACTAGACAATTATACAAAATTTAATACCATGTTAAACAGCATTTTAGAGTTTTTAATACTTTTTAAGGGCCTTAAATCTCTCTAAATAGATTTATCAACTTTAAATACTCTTAAGACACCCTGTATTCACACTCGAGATGCTCTGTGCTGCAAACATGAACAGATCTTCACTACACACAGATCAAGCAGACCCGGCTCACCCTGTAATATGCCAGCTGGAGAGCGATCTGAATGAAGGCGTCTGGGCTGATCTTACACTTCTTGATGGCGCCTTTGCCAAACTCTTGAATGGGAAACACGTGAAAGTCGAGATCGTCGGCCAGAGCCTGAGCCACAGCGAGAGAGCGCTGCACACGCTCCTGACACTAAACACACACACACATATAAATTATTCAGAGTGACTGTAAACAAAAGAAGAGGAGATGTGTGTGCGTGTGTGTGCGCATGTGTGTGTGTGTGTGTACTGGTTTGGTTTGTTTACAAAGACATACTGTAAATTTTGTAAAGATGTATAACAGCATTACTAATATAGATATATGAACAATTTGTTTAATATAAATGAAAAAGGTACTGTTTTAATACATACTTCATTTGCCAGCAAAAGCAGAATTGTAAATATGTAATATCGCAATAATATTTTATGCAAACTGTTTTGTAAATATTTTTAAATATCAGCCATAATTGCACAATAAAAATACAATACATAAAAAAAATCATTAATATTGCATCCTCTTTATGTGCAATTGTTCAAGCTGATAATGTGTGTGTCAGTGTACATGTGAGTGGGTGTATGTGAGCCTGTGTATGTGTATGAGGGTATGTGCATGCATGCATGCATGTATACAAGTATGTGTGTGTGCATGCTTGCCTGTGCAGGGATGTCCCAGGTCAGTCTGGATGGAGGAGGCAGAGTCGGGGCCACGTCTCCTTTACAGTGACCCTCTTCATTATAACCCAGCTGGAAACAGTCGGTGGTCATCACATACTGACAGAGAAACAGATGGACAGCTGGATTACAACACATTATGAAGGTTATACAGTTCAGCCAAAGATGTGCCACTTTATTAACCAAAAAAATATACATTATTACTTTAAATAGAGCTGCCAGTGTTGTTATTGCTCATAAAAATGGTGAAATACTGAAAAAAAATGAGATGTAAATATATATATTTAAAAAAAAAAAAGGACACATAAGAAAGTAAACATGAGAAAGCACTCTATACTTACTAAAATGAAACAGATCTAAATAGAAATAGAATGACAAAAAGTACAACAATATTACTAAAATAAATGCAATTTATTCAAATAAAAAGGTATTAATAATACATACTAGATTTGCATGTAAACAATTATTTACACTGACAGATGCAAGTAAAAGCCAAAATGTAAATATTTAACAATCATTCATTCATTCATTTTAATTTCGGCTTAGTCCCTTTATTAATCGGGTCGCCACAACGAAATGAACTGCCAACTTATACAGCATATGTTTACGCAACAGATGCCCTTCCAGCTGCAACCCATCAATAGGAAACATCCATACACACTTATTTACACACATAGACTA